TTTTTTTTTTGGGCAAATTAATAGGGGTGGTGCTAGGAGGAGGGTAAAGGTGGAATTTTCAATATTTTTAAAAGCTTATATTTCGAAAATTATTGTACCGAATTTCAAAATGTAGATATGGTTACCAATTGATGTGATATACACATCTTTATATATCTTACATACATACAAATTTCGAGAAAGACTAAAAAAAAACGAAATTATAAGAATATTTGAGATTTGACATAACACCCGCAATACAAGATGTATGTGGTTGTTGTTGTTGTATTCTTGCCACCACCTTGTATAAATTCGCCTCGTGCAAAAACAAAATGCAAGACTTTGCCATGCTAAACACTGTGGCGAAGTGAGAGAGTTATATGGACAAATATGAGAAACTATGATTCAATTGAATCATGTGAGCCCTAGGGCATCAACTGAGTTACATTTTTTTTTGGACAGGGAGTCTGAGTTACCGATTCACTTATGGGAATCAACTCAATAACTCAACTCTGAGTTGAGTTACCCACTTCTACTAATTACCACCGCTGCGAATGAACAATGAACAACACCAGTGTTGCCTGCCAACGAGTAATTTTAGTACACTTTTTGCCACGGCGAAAAGAAGAAGAAGCAATTTGTTTTCGCCCTATACTTCCGGTAGTGCATTCCAGTGGCGTCCGGTAGTGCATTCCAGTGGAAGTTTTGTGATCTATCCCTGTTCTGACATTCATTCTTGTTTTTTAACTTATTATTCTGTTTCTAATGATTCTTTGGTGCTATTTTCGCATTTTAATATTTGTTGGAAGTCCTTGCCATTTTCTATATATAAGAACCCGTGGTATATTCTGGATATATTGAAACGATTTCGGATTGATATTTCATTTAGGCCCAACGATGGAACAAGAAAGTAAAAACCAGTTAGACGATGTGCAGCGGCAGATATTCGAGAGAATCGCCAAAAACGACGTGGATGGTTTTAAGCAGCAGATAACCCAACTAAAAGGTTGTGTGGATTTTGTAGACGAGGATGGGATGACTCCGCTTCAGCATGCTTGTTGCAAGGGTAACAAAGACGCTGTGCAGATGCTGTTAGACATGGTGAGCTCAACACTCCATAGTGCACGTGCTGTGTTAATACTTTATGTTTTCAGGGTGCTGATATAAACTTTAATAAACACGGTGCGGACTATACACCACTGCATTTTGCAGCTCTATCAGGCAACACAGAGGTGTGCCGTTTGATTCTGGATGCTGGCATAAATCCCAGCAGATTAAACAGCGTTTCACGAACAGCGTCACAGATGGCAGCTTTTGTTGGTAATCATTCCTGCGTGGAAACGATCAACAACTATGTACCGCGAAAAACATTAGA